TCTAACCTCTGTTAATTCACGACTTATAGTGCCACCGACAGCCGCTAGCAGCAGTGAGGTCATGAGTGCGTACCGTTGAAGGGTCTCTAAGAAGATGGTCGAAACAGAGGTCCAGTAGTCCGAAAAGGTTTCACGGGGTTTTCTCTAATTTATGCTAGTCGGTGATCAAACTTGATCATGAAGGTTTTATTGAAAATTTCAATTTTCTTTTTTTAATATTTTAGGCTGAATATCTATTTTACAACAATCCTCAGGTTGACTGAAAAGTTGAACAATGAAAAGAAATAAATTGAAAAAAGGGAGATTTGAGAAAACAAAAATAAAACCAATAAAAATGAATGCTAAGAATGTACTGAAAAATAAATAAATAAATATCTATGTGTGAAGTGAACTGAACTGAAAAAAGTCTATTTCTGGTATTGATCTTTAGCCTTTTCAACATACTATCCATGTAGACAATGAATAGCATAACAGCCACCCCGAGTGAGCGTAACTACAATCAGTTGTCTCTAGGGGGGTTGTACTGTTATTGACTGTTTTCCTTTGAATTTCTACGTGAACTTTTGGCTGTCTAACTTGACTAGGTAATTTTTGGCGAAGAAACTCTCTTCAGCGAATTCATTTTCTGAGCTGTACAATCACATTAATTAACAGTTCTTTTTAATGAGAATAGCAATAGCAATAGAAGTGATGAGTTATCATAATTATAGTTGCCAGTATTAGTCAATCAATAATAAGAGAAGTTGCATAAGAGTATTAGAGTTACATTATAAGATATATAATTTAATTAATTAGTTGTATGTAATATTGGATACACACAGAAACGATAGAGTAAATGTTGCGAAAAAATACAAGAGTTATCGGGAGTTGAAAAAACGAACTAAGATCAGCTCGGTAGGGAAACAAAAACAAGGTTGTCACCTTGATAGTAGGACAACAATGATTATATTTCTTGACGTAGAGACGGCATTCCATTCTGTCGACCGGGAGGCACTCTGGGGATGCTTGGACGTAAAGGGTATGCCGAGAAAATACATTGCACTGATCAAAGCACTCTACTCGAACTCATGCCATCAGCTAGGCGAGGGCTTACGGCGAGTTGTCATCTGAAGTGGTGAAAACTAGTGATGTCCGTCAGGGATGCCCACTGTCCCCATTTCTATTCAGTTTCACCATAGATGTACTTATGGACTTAACCCTAACTCACTTCAGAGACTCAGGGATTGACTTGCTACCAGGGAATAATCTCGTTGACTTAGAATATGCAAACGATATAGCCCTGCTAGGCGAGGACTCTGACAAAATACAGAGTCTTCTGAATACCTTGAGCTGGAATCTACGAATGTTTAGCATGCCATTCGCTTGTGCTGTCAAATGTAAGATGATGTTACATGACTGGACCACACTGACTCCTAGTTTAGAAATAGGGAGTGAAGTGGTAGAGCACGTTGACCGCTTCACTTATTTGGGAAGTTGCATCAGCCAACGCAAATAGGTTGATCTCTGACGAAATCTCAGTACGGATACAGAGGGCTAGTTTCGTATATGCCAATTTACGCCGTCTCTGGAGTAGACGTGATATCCGCCTACCTGTCGACCAAAGGGCGAGTGTACTGCTCATCGGTCCACTCCGTCCTCCTTTATGGCTGGCTGTGAAACTTGGCCATTGAGAGTGGAAGACATGAAAAGCTTAGCTGGTGTCTTTGATCATAGGTGCCTGCTTCCTATCTCCCGTGTAGAGTGGTATAATAAGGTGAGCAATATTGAGGTGAGGCATCGGTCGAGTGTTGGGCAAGGAGGAGGGGAAATCAATCGATGAGGCTGTGAAATTACATCGACTGAAAGAGATGGTTAGGACATGTGTTACGTATGCTTAGTCATCGCCTTCATCGACAATGGGCAATGTTAGCTGATATAGGGCCAGGTTGGAAAGGAGCTAGCGGCGGTCAAACCAAAACATGGCACCAGTCAATGAAATCCACAACAGCTAGTTTAAGCCACGTAGGAAGGTGTAGACTTCCTGACTAGTTGGGGTCCTCGGGACGATAAATATTAATGGCTGGAGACAATCGGTGATATAGCTCAAAGTCGTCCCTACTGGCTGGCACAGAATCATCCTCTCCCTGTGACTTATAATATCCAATAAAACTATATTGTTCTTCCGTATTACTATTCATTTTGCCTCATATCTCTGTTTATTGTCTCTATTAAGCATTTCTTCTACCTTCTTCTCTTGCTTTGTGTGCTACAAGAAGGGAGTGTGGCGACTTGACCTGGTGCACATCGGTGCAAAGTTGAAACCAGTCATTCAGACCTCTGTCGCCTAGACGTGATATCCATCCGGCTATCGATTGAATGACGTGTGTACTGTACAGCAGCAGTCAGCTCTCAATCACACGTCTGCTTCTTTTTGTGGCTTTCAGTTAGACACAAACTATGAAAGTAAGAAGAAGGCGTGAAAAGGCAATCGCCTTTCACCATACGCGTTCACGTTCTATCTCCAGTATTCACTGGTATAATATCGTGAGGAATGCTGAGGTTAGACACAGAGCGCTAGGTAAGCGAGCAAAATCAGTACATCAGATTATCAAGCCAGTTCGACTGAGGTGGCTAGGACACGTGCAGAGTATGACGAGTCAACACCTCTGACAACTGGCAGTGTTAACTGACATAGCATTCGGTTGGAAAAAGAGTTAGGTAGTGGTGGTCAAACAAAAACACGAAGTCACTCTATGAACTGTTTGACTGTTGATTTCATCCAGCCACATAGGCAGATGTAGACTACCTAGATAGATGACCAGCTGGAGACTATTTCTCACATGGCTGAAAATCCGTTTCAATTTTTTTTTCACAACAATTCACTCTTTATCACCTAGGTTCATCAAATTCTGATTATTCTCCATAAACTTTACTTATTCTTACCTCTTCCTTACATTTCTCTCTTCACACTGCTTTTGCTTTCATGAAGTGTGACAACTAGAACTGTTGCACTTTGGAGTCAAATACTACCTCGCAAGTTCACTCAATACAGTCAGTCGAAACCACAATCACAGTGTAATGTCTTCCTATGAATCATAACACACACCAGATTAGCTCTACACTTATTAGATTACTTGTTTATTGACAGACACAATTGATGCCATGCTTAGCAGTTAGCCAAAGCCTACAATTCGCTGTAATTTCAAATACAAGAATGAGACACAGATACACAGAATGAAAGGCAATTAAAAAAATATAAGACAACTGACACTTCTTATGTAAATATTCCTAAGGGGAACCTGGCCCGCCAGATGCTTTGATACTGTCCCCGTAATTTTATGTTGCCAGATGTGTCAAGGGTGATGGATAGGATAGTAGTAAGCGCGCGAAGGACCCTAAGCTTATGTGCTACGCGGATACACCCCGACCTCGTAACATTTAACCTTGCCTAGTATTACTAAATACCTCCCAACTTTATTAACCAGTCAGTCTAAAGCGCAGACAAAGAGGGAAGCTTAAGTGTGTGTGGCTGGCTAGCACAAAATATACAGTCTTCTGAAAATACTACCTGGAGTATGAATCACGGTGTTTCTGAAACCTTTTAGGTTTTTTGTTGTATTTCTAAAAATGACTCCATACATTTCGTGGATTTCATGTCGAATAATTAGTGTAACGTCTAATGATTTGTCCACATTACCTCTTGTTTCTTCGGGAGATTTTTGATTACTATAGTTACTGTCAATTTCTTTTTGTGTTCTTCCTCTACTTTTGAGTGACGTTTCCGATGCGGTGATCCACAACGGAGACATCAGCGAAGCGTTTGGAGTAAACACAGGAGTCAGACAAGGTTGCTTATTATCACCAATGATATTCCTAATTGTGGTGGACTGACTGGATTATGCGTCAGACAGTGGGAAACGAGAAGACAGGAATATCCTGGACCGACGTGAAGAACCTAGAAGACATGGATTTCGCGCGTGGATGATTTATGCTTGATGTCACACACACAAAATCGAAGACTTACAAGCGAAAGCCGACAAACTGGTCGAAGAAGCAGCCGGCTAAGACAGAACTCCACGTGAACACAGACAACACGGAGGTTATGAAAATAACCGACCAGCCAACCACCACCAACAACAGCAACATCCAGCGTCAATCACCATCAACGGGAGGGATTTGAAAGAGGTTACTTCATTCACTTATCTGGGGAGCATTGTCTCAAGTACAGGAAGTCGGAACGGACGAGGATGTCAAATCGAGATTCGGGAAGGAGAGCGAGAAACACATTCATCAACCTGAAACCAATCTGGAAATCTTCGTCACTCAGCCAGCATCAACAACAAAATCCACTTGGATTTTCAATACAAACGTCAAGTCAGTCAGCTCTTCTATACGGATTAGAAACTTGATGGGTCACAAAGAATATTTCCAACAGCCTGTTGCAAACCTTTATCAACAACTGTCTTCGCTGGCTCTATACTGAAGATCAGATGGCCGGGCCGGAAAGAATCACCAACAAGAAGCTATGGGCACTAACAAACAAAACAAGAACCAACCACCAACCAACAAATATGCAGGAGAAAGTGGATTGGGATGGATTGGACACTCGCTCGCTGAGGAAGCCGCTGGGTGACATCGCACGCGCATCAGACCATCACTCGAGTGGAACCAGGCCGAAAGGGAAGCGGCGAGTGGGACGTCAGTAGAAGGGTGACATGGAGGAGATCGTGTGAAAAGGAGTTGGAACATTTTGGACTAACATGGATGCAGCTGAAAAGTACACCGGAAAGAAGAGAGAAGCAAGTGGAGACGTGCAGTTGAAGCCCTTTGTTCCACTAGGAACCCAAAAGAAAAATAATAATATAAGGCAATGTGCTAAGTTCAACTGGTGCATGCCTGTTCAATAGCTATGTTGATACTCAGTGAGTCGGTGTCGATCCCGTTTCAGAAGAAAAAACAAGTCAGTAACTATGGGAAGTTCAAAGCACGGAGAAAAACACTCTATGAACGAATAAACACAATTAATTCGTATAAAATATTATATTTCCATTCAAAATAAAAACAGCAAGACAATAAGACTAGTTAGTTATAACAGCACTGTACAACAACATGTGACAAAGTACCTTCCGTTAGTAAACAACAACAAAATATATCTAGTTTATCGTTTCATTTCGCCAAGATCCTCTATTAAGTCTTCATCAATCTACAAGTTTGAAAAAAAAGCAATAATCGTGATAATTAACAATAGCGCAAAACTCAGTAGCCATCTTATAAAGCTCTCGTATTTAGACAAGTGTACAACAAATCAATTTGTAGAATTCCTACAAAGAACTAAATCATGATGAGTAATAAATGTAGTTAGGCCTAAAGCGCTAGGTAAAGGAGCAGGCAATGCCTAAGCATTCCTTCAGCACACAGCTAATGAGTCCCGGGGTTGGAATCCTGCATCCGGCTAATTTAGCCAAGGGAAGCTAGCAACTTGATAGTATTGTCATCAGCAGTCATATACACATACAATACGTATGACTTATAACTTGCTATATAGAAATATATTCCGCGTAATTGAGTTCAGATCAGCATCATAGAGAATGAATTGAGAAATGAGTTTGTACAGTGGCGATGATAAGTGGCATTGAGAAGGAATGTTACTTGAAGTAGAGTCAAGGTTGTTCAAGACCACAATTTGTCATTCAAGCGTTGGTTTGTACGGATTTGGTTGATTGGTTACAGGATTTCATCATGAGATGACATCGGATAGAGAACCATTGGAAAACCTGGGAGTACTGGACAGCTGTTTCGTCTCAGTTTGGGACTCTTCATCAGTACACACTCACTGGGATTCGAGCCCAGCACCTTCTGGTCACAAGGCGAGCTCGTACACCATTAGGCTACTAAGACCCGACCAATGACCCATGAATTCTAACTTCTGCCAATTCACGCCATAGCGCGACCCTTAGCCAATGTCTTCGGCGAGTATTTGTCTTCACACCAGACATGCTGCACCTTACTGGTCACGACTTCTCACTAGAACCGCAGGTAACTATATACTATCTATCACTAATGAGCATCTCATTGATATTCAAGTATTGGTTTGTAGGGATTTGTCACTAAACGATAATTTAAACCGATTCAAAAGAGGTGTAAGTTACTCACAAAAGATCAAATGATTGAAGACTGTTAGGGTTAGATGGGTCAAAATCGTACAACACAATAGTCCACTTACCATATGAGTTAATCTTCTTTTTATTGCTCACATTTATTCACTGTAGTGCTATACTCACGTACTCCTGCATGTATTTTTACGTGTACAGACTCTCGAACTGATGTATCACTATTTAAATTCTACACTGATTAATTAATTAGTCACAAATGTTTATCAGTTCACACAGCCATACTTAAAAAGGGTACAGTAGACAAAAACAGATGTGACGAAGGATGGTCAAAAATCTGAAGAAATCCAATAAACCCGTTTTACCCCAGTTATCCGGCAGACCCCAATTCACAAATCAAACATCCAACTACGACTAATTAATTGTAACACTCCCGGGAACCCCAACATACAACTTATCAGAGGAACTACACATAAAACTGACACATATGACAGTTACTTCATAAAATCTGTAAGTCAATATTTAGAGAAAATCAAAGACATTCAAACAGAAACTAGCAAAATAAACCATGAAACAACTACTCGGCAGCATGAACACTTTTCACAACACGCAAAAATGCAACACACACAGGTTTTAGTGAATGCACACACCGGACCGAAAGCTGCTACCTTGAAGTGGTGGTCGGGCTTGAACACTGCAATGACCTAATCAGACTATACTAGCTGAGACTTATGTCTCTTGAGGTCCTACCATGCCAGAAAGGTTGTTTGGATAGCGGTTAGACAAAAAGCAGCTACCCAATCCAACATCATGATAAATACAAAATCACAAAATATCATCCCAGATCGGCCGGGGCTCGGATTAACAACGACCACGCCTCCTGCTGTCGTGTCACAGGGCAGGAGTGATAAATATGCTACTGAGACACACAAAACAATAAAGAACGAACAAAACCAGGCCGCGTGTGACTGGCCTCAAGCAGTTGTCCCCTGGGCTCTGCGGTCACGCAACCCACTTCCACGGTGTGGCCAGCCGGGAAGTAACAATCGTCCTCACAATCCGAAATGCACACGAAACCTCTCTAATCCTCAATCATCTTTGTCTTCATCTTCGTCTCTATTATCTTGCCTTCCTTCTACTTGACGGCTCTTCACTTCCTCTCCACTCTGTGTCTACTAAAAACGACGGAAGCCAAAAAACAACCACCGATAGTCTCCTAAAGCCACGCCACCAATTTCATATAGGAGCATTTATTGTTAGGACACTTTGCCAAATAGGACAACAAGCATCACTAGCCAAGACCCTGCCATCCCGAGCCATTGATGTATGTTGTCTTTCAGAAACACGCATACAAGACCCAAGTGTGGTTATTCACCTAACCCAACCTGGCCAACAGGTTGAATCTGCAAAATTCACCTTGAGGGTGTCAGGAGATGCCACAGATAGTTCACGAGGATTAGCTGGTGTAGGGATAGCTTTGAGTACTAGGGCAGAAAAGACATTACTTGACTGGATCCCGGTAGATAGCCGAATGTGTGCTGTCCGTCTGAACGGATCAGTAAAAAGGAGAAAGGACTGCACTACTCGCCGATGCCTTCTCGTAATCTCCGCCTACACCCCCACTGACTGCAGTTCAGATGAAACGAAGGATGAGTTCTACCAAAAGCTGTCTAGTTTGCTGCGAAAGGCTAGACGCTCAGATATAGTCGTTCTAGCTGGTGACTTTAATGCTGAAGTAAGGAAATTGTGTCAATCTGAGAAGGATGTCGGTGGCATCTATGGAGTTCCATGCCAGCGAACCGACAACGGTGACCGTCTCCTACAGTTCTGCTCTGATAATCATTTGTTTCTCGTAAGCACTAACTTCAAACAAAAGGAGAGACACTGTTTGACCTGACAACCATTATCATCAAACTAACACTGGACACAAATAGACCACATAGCAATAAGCTATCGTTGGCGTGGGTCGGTAGGAGATTGTCGCTCCTTCTGGAACACGTGTGTAGATACCGATCACGCACTGGTCCGTGCTCGTGTGTGCTTACGACTGAACGGACGTAGGAAACAGCTGGCGGTAAACCCATCACGTCCCCAGCTCGATCAGGAAACTAAATCCCTATTTGAGGAAGAACTAGCTACACACATATCTATGTTCGACAGCTGTGCTCACCCTGAAGAAGCTTGGAAGAATATTCAGTCAGCCATAGATATAGCTGTAAAAGCTGTGAATAAGGCAAATCCAAAGGTGAGTAAAAACCACTGGATTTCGACTGCCTCATCCGAACTGATAGATGCTAGAAGACTTATTCCGGCGAGCTCCGAATTCAATGAGGAGCGAAAGCTGCACAAAAGGAAACTTACGAAAAGTCTCCGCAAGGACCGTGAACAATGGTGGGTGACAAAGGCGAAAGAGATGATATTAAGATAAGATAAGCTTTATTCCAAATCAGTACTTGTGATACAGAATGGAATTCTCAGCATTTTACTACAATAATGCATCCAGTTAGTACATTAACAATAAATATAGTTCTACATAGATTAAGGTTATCTCAGTCAGTTCTGACAACATATTAGCATGTCGGTATCAAAGCCAAAATTTAAACAGAGTGTTTGAAGGTGTTAGAAAAGTAGATACTACTAGCATATTTACTGGCGTAAGCAATAGCAAAATGGTCGAGTTATACAGAGTGTGAAAGAACGAACAAGAATGTTTTAAGTAGAGTTTGCAAGGAAAAGAGAAACAAAACAACACATAACAAAAAAAAGGTAGAGAGAAAACGTTGTACCTGTAAATGATGTGACTTGGAAAGACGAGATCCATTTGTTCTACTGACTATTTAACAAGTTAAAGGTTTCACGCCTAATGCTTTCTTTATCGCACAGAACACGAGCTAGGTAGGGTATGGATGAGTTTTTGTACTTGCTAGTGCGGGCATATAGTTTCCTATATAGGCTTCTGGTTTTCCCTGAAGAGATACATGGGGAGAGTTGTGAATGTAGAGGGTGTTGTGAGTCAGATAAAATGGTTTTTGCCCATTTTTCACATGAGTCCATGTGCCTGTCCACCAGAATATTAACAAGCTGGCTAAGTGGCAAACTGCTTACCCTGCTGACAACCTTTAACATCCTACGTAATAAGGTATAGACTTTCTTCAGTAGCCCAGGAAAGACTAAGGGGGAACAATAGAGAATAATAGGCAGAATACGGGAGTTAACAAATTGTAGGAGTTAGGGTTGGGTTACACCAGAAAGTCTTAACTTCTTGATGTAGAAGGTAAGACGGAATATTTTCTTAGAAATCGTCAAGATATGAGACGACCAGGAAAGATCAGAAGATAGAGTGACGCCTAGGTATTTAATTTCCGACTTGGTTTCAATTTCAGTGCCATCTATGTTGCACATCTCGTGTGTCCTAACCAGTTTGTTTAGGTCAGATTTGCGCCTAAAGGTGAAAGCATCGGCGATAGGGAACACTAGGCAACTCTTTAGACTCATCAGGGAAAAAGGTGGGAGAAGGCAAATCATAAGTGAGACTATTTCTGAGAAAAACGGCACCTTAATTAGCTCCCAGGACAGACGCCTTGAACGCTGGAAAGAACACTGAGGCACAATTTAGCTTGCCTACAGCCACACTGAGCCTCCCCGACATCCAGAACACACCCGAATGGGATATAGACACTGGCCCGCCGTTTGTAAGTGAGGTCACAAAAGCTATCTGTAATTTGAAACAAGGCAAAGCGGCAGGACCCGACGGAATTATTACGAAGGTGTTTAAAAATGGGGGTGACATACTAGTATGTAAATTAACTTAGGTACTAGGCAAAGTCTGGGAATCAGAGACAGTTCCATCAGACTGGGGTAAGTCAATTCTTATACCGATATTTAAGAAGGGAAACAAGTCCTCATGTGATAATTATAGGGGGATCAGCCTAACGAACATAGTTTCTAAAATCCTATGCTCAGTAATCATGCACAGACTAAGCAGAACTCTGGAGGAGCAAAGGAGGGAAAATCAAGCAGGCTTTAGACCAGGTGGAGGGTGCATAGATCATATCTTCACTCTCCGACACATTCTAGAACATGGACACACCTTTCGACGTCCAACAATTGCCATATTTCTTGACTTGAAGGCGGCCTTCGACTCCGTGGATCGAAAGGTACTATGGCAATGTCTGACTGTGAAGGGAGTACCAAGAAAGTACATTGCACTAATCAAGGCACTCTATTCAAACTCACGTAGTCGTGTAAGGGCTTATGGGGAATTGTCATCTGAATTGATAACAACCAGTGGTGTCCGACAGGGATGTCCACTTTCCTCATTCCTGTCTAACTTCATCATAGATATGCTAATGGAAGTATCCCTAACTGAACTTAATGACTTAGGAATTGACTTGTTACCGGGGAATAGTTTTATGGACTTAGAATATGCAGATGACATAATCCTGTTAGGGGAGGATTGTGACAACATGCAAAGTCTTCTGAACACCTTGAGCAGCAATCTTCGTATGTTTGGCATGCGATGAGATTCGCCCCTGCAAAATGTAAGATGCTGCTACAGGACTGGACTACGTCAACTCCTAGCTTAGTGATAGGGAGTGAAGTGATAGAACATGTTGACCACTTCACCTGTTTGGGAAGTTGTATCGGCACCAACAGACTGATTGGCGACGAAATCTCAGCACGGATCCAAAAAGCTCGAGCTGCTTTCGCTGACTTACACCATCTCTGGCGTAGGCGTGACATCCGGCTATCAACCAAGGGACGTGTGTACTGCTCAGTAGTTCGCTCCGTCCTTCTTTATGACTCTGAAACATGGCCAATACGAGTTGAAGACATGAAAAGGTTGACTGTTTTTGATCATAGATGTTTACGATCTCTTTCTCACGTTAGGTGGTATAATAAGGTAAGTAATGTTGACGTTAGGCGAAGTGTTGGGCAAACACGGAAAATCAATCGACGAGGCTATAAAGTTACATAGATTGAGATGGCTAGGTCACGTGCTGCGCAGGCCTAACCATCGCCTCCCCCGACGGGCATTACTAGCTGATATAGGTGCAGGTTGGAAAAGAGTAAGTGGTGGCCAAACAAAAACATGCCATCAATCCATGAAATCCTTGACAGTCAAACTGAGTTAGGTAGGGAGATGCAGACTTCCGGGTTGGGGCCCTCGGGATTGACTCTAGGAATCAATGGCTAGAGACAATAGGTAGTATGGCTCAAAATCGTTATCAATGGCGCAGATGTATTCAGTCTCTGTAATCTTTCATATTTCTTTCTACCATTACCCATTCTGTTTCACTCTTATACTTGTCAGACTGTATTTATTCTCTTCACTCATCTTCTTGTCTACCTCTGTGTGCTATTTGGAAGGTGGCAACTCGAACTGCTGCACTTCAGTGCCAAGTTCTATGTTGAATCCAGACAGACAGACAAGCCAAAGTGATCAACTGAAGTCACGCACTGATCTTCAAAACTCAACAGCTTATACGTGTCAAAGTAGGTGGTCCACAGTTCCATCGCTCAATGACTCCTAATATATATAACACCATAGTGGAAAACGCACTACAGTATATATAAATGTCGTACCAGTTATTAGATCATCAAGGGTAAACTTCAATCATAGATGTCAATCAACCTACTAATGATTAAGACGACGGCATTGTTTATCAGCTAGTGGCCGATTCATGCAGAGTTACAATTATTAGTACGCCTATTACAATATCGAACAGAAAATAGAAACAACAGCCATCTCTATTGATGACTTGGTTTGCCAGTTCAAACAGTGAACTTTCTTTAGACATTAATGGCTACATAGGTCACGCCCAGTTTCCCTTAATTCAGTCTGGGGAGGGGGCATATGAGTAGTAATATTACCAACCTTTTTCACAGTATGTATATATGGCCTTTATCCTGATACATGACAAAATCTGTTTCAGTAATAAAAGAATTCTAACAGCCCTGATGAACAACATCAGTGGTTAACATAATCTCAGATTATAATTACCTAAATAATTGGTTTGAGCTACTTAGAAAATCGGATGCTACAATTAGAAGTATTTTAGAATAAACTGAAAATCCTCTAGAGTGAATACATTTCACACTACACCTGGACAAACAACTGAATATTCATGCATCTAACGAGAGTCACACTTATTGTATGACTGCAATGTTAGAAAAACAGCTTAGTTATATACTAATGTATACAATTCTTCAACTGAATAAATCAACTATAAGATGTGTGTCGACAGTCCAATAATAGAATACTCGTTAGCTGCAACGCAGGGCAGGTCCATGTTCGATTCCTCGGTCACTGACGCATTCCAAAATCTCGTCTATTTTACTAACTGACAGTATCCCCCCCCCCAAAAAAAGAAAGGAAAGAGGGAAATTTGTGTGTGAGGCTAGCAACTACGTGCCCTGTTAAGAACAAATACATTACCCGCCTCCCCCTACTCCGACAGCAATCCACTAAGAAAATAAAAGGGAATGAAAAGAGGATTCAGTACTACTTACTTCTGGCCATTTTTCCATTAATGTTTCGATTAATTCTTCTTTTACATCACCTTGTACAACAATTTCATCACCATTCCCAGTTACGGAACTACCAGTTGCAAATTTACGACCAAATACTTTAGCGGCTGCTTTCAAATCGATTCCTTAATTGAGTGGGAAAAGAGAACAGGAAGAAAGACTGTGGTGATTAGTGAATATATATATATATATATATATTTCGCTAACTTCGTAATGTGAAGAAGACTCACAAAATAAAATTACCTTCTTAGGTGTCCGTCTCACAAGAATACCGGATGGTAAAACAAAACCGGACGTAAACAAAATTTAAATAAGGAAAGTACATGGACAGGACATTTGCACACATACCTTTGTTCCTCTTTAGTTTACAAAAGAAATTCGGTACGGCCATCCATCTAGAGCATCACGCCTACATGTCCAGAAGATGTTATTGAAGATTAACCTAACATTCTATATGACACAAGAAATGAGAATAGCTATCTATCATGAAACACATGGCTAAGAAAGTCAAGGAGAAATGTTCTGTATCTGCAAACAACAAACCTCTCTACATATGCAACTGCAGTTCAAAGGAGAAGTACCAAGTGAAGTAATATAATCAGTAGGTTAAGAAAATCAACTCAAAGAATTTCTTAGTTGTTGGGCAAGAGTTGTAATCAAAGGTGAACATATTGCAATTCCCTCCTTTCTGAAAGTAACGTCAAGTAGCGATGAATGCTTCTGCGAATGCTCTCCCTACCCTCCCCCGGCCACCACTTATGCTAAATTCTATTTTCTATAGTTTTTTTATGTGTTGCACATCTCTTGATGTCTATAATTTACCAAGTTCGTGTTTAAATATTAATAATAATAATAAATTTACTTTAAATCACGATAATTTTGAATACGTCGCTTACCAAATGTAGACAATCCGGTAACACTGGTTGTATACTTTTTCTTGCCTCTTGATGTCTTGAAAACTGCTATCTGTTGTTTAACTGGTTTCTTGACTGTACCCTTGCCACCTCTTACTTGACGTCCTTTAGGCGCTGCTTCAGTCTGATTCAAATCTCCTCCATCTGTCAAAAGTTATACAATGAAATCCCCTCCCTCCAAAAAAATTATATTTTTACCAGTAGTGAGTCGTTCAAATTCTTCCGGTAGATTCTTCTCTAGCCATAGTCGACATTTATCAGGAAACGGTGAAAATTCACAATACTCTAATGGCATTGTACATTCTGAATTTTAAATTTCAAACAACAACAATATTAGCAATACCAACCACCACAATATTTCACTGTCAACGGATATTCAATGTCTGGGTCTTGCCTCGCCCTTGGCATATATTCATAATTTTCAACCATAGTGAAATTTGTTTAGTCTAGAGAGAGAGAGAGAGGAAAACATGTAAAAATGAAGCATACAAACATGGTAATATATACATCTGAGTATTGAGTAAAGTTCGGGAAAAAAACTAAAACTATGTGTATCGTTCTACAGTTCCTTGTGAAACGAATAAACCCCTAGTCAATATTTTCACTGGTTGCAATTCCATGCAATCGATAGTCGGCCACATCTATAGTGGGTTTGAGAGGGCTAGTTTCGCATATGCCAATTTACGCCGTCTCTGGAGTAGACGTGATATCCGCCTACCTGTCGACCAAAGGGCGAGTGTACTGCTCATCGGTCCACTCCGTCCTCCTTTATGGCTGGCTGTGAGACTTGGCCATTGAGAGTGGAAGACATGAAAAACCTGGCTAGCTGTCTTCGATCATCGGTGGCTGCACTTTATCTCCCGTGTGAAGTGGTATAATAAGGTGAGCAATATTGAGGTTAGGCGTCGGTCGAGTGTTAGGTAAGGAGGAGGGGAAATCAATCGACGAGGCTGTGAAATTACATCAACTAAGAGAGATGGTTAGGACATGTGTTACGTATGTCTAGTCATCACCTTCCTCGACTACGGACAATGTTAGCTGACATAGGGTTAGTCAGGCTGGAAAAGAGCTAGCGGTGGTCAAACCGAACCATGGCTTCACCACCCAATGAAATCCACAAAAGTAAGTTTAAGCCAACCAGTCACGTAGGAAGGTGTAGACTTCCTGACTAGTTGGGGTCCTCCGGACGGTCTGTCTGGATTCAACATAGAACTTGGCACTGAAGTGCAGCAGTTCGAGTTGCCACCTTCCAAATAGCACACAGAGGTAGACAAGAAGATGAGTGAAGAGAATAAATACAGTCTGACAAGTATAAGAGTGAAACAGAATGGGTAATGGTAGAAAGAAATATGAAAGATTACAGAGACTGAATACATCTGCGCCATTGATAACGATTTTGAGCCATACTACCTATTGTCTCTAGCCATTGATTCCTAGAGTCAATCCCGAGGGCCCCAACCCGGAAGTCTGCATCTCCCTACCTAACTCAGTTTGACTGTCAAGGATTTCATGGATTGATGGCATGTTTTTGTTTGGCCACCACTTACTCTTTTCCAACCTGCACCTATATCAGCTAGTAATGCCCGTCGGGGGAGGCGATGGTTAGGCATGCGCAGCACGTGACCTAGCCATCTTAGTCTATGTAACTTTATAGCCTCGTCGATTGATTTTCCCTCTTTGCCCAACACTATGCCCAACGTCAACATTACTTACCTCGGGACGGTAAAAAGCAATGGCTGGAAACAACTGGTGATATGGCTCAAAGTGATTGTTCTCAATGGCTGGTGCAGATGCATTCATTCCTTGTGACTTATGATTTGCAATGAAACTATATTGTTCTTCGTTATTACTATTCCATTGTCTCACACCTCTGTTTACTGTCTCTATTATGCTTTTTTTCTACTTTCTTGTCTTGCTTTGTGTGCTACAAGGAGGGAGTGTGGCGAACTGAAGTACCGCACATCGATACATAGGTCTATGTTGAAAACAGACAGACAGTGTGAGAGGGAGTGAGAGCTATTTATGATTGACCCATTGAATTCTCAATGTAGAAATTTACAAAGAAGTGCAACACTTCAACCACAGTTGCAGAGAAAAAGCAGATATGTACGGGAGAAAGAACAAGTAGACAGAGAAGCATGAGGACTTTATAAATCTGGGAGATTATCAAGAGTGAATGCACGCACCTCCGTTATTGACAAAGATTAGTTTCAAGCTACTAACTTTTAACGTGTCGAGAACACCAACTAGGCAGTCTACAACTTCTTATTTAGTCGCCTTAAACCAAATTCCAAACAGCTCAAGGATAAATGCCATGGTTTGATCTGAATATTCCTAACACTTTTTGTGATCTAATCTTGTGTTCGCTGCGACGCAGAAAATCAAAACAAGTGATCCAGCAAAATCCCCGCGCGACTGAACTTTTAGATACACAGAATTTCGTTATTTAGTCGTGAACACAGGAATTCGAAGTGTTCGAAAGGTACGAGGAAGAGATGCAGAGTAGAGTGCGTTCTCGACAGCTGACTAAAGTCTTCGAGTTGTCGATTGCATGATTTGGTCACCGTTGAATAGTAGTGTAATAAAGACGGTTCTTATGTTACTTATGTTTTACTCAAGTAATTTCTCTGTGTTAGGATAGTGAGAAAGATCTTGAACCATCACCAACTTATGGTTTTTATAGTTTTGAAGTCAGCAGCCAATCGATTTAGCTGCGACCAATTATCAAAGACTTCATAAATTTATGCTAGGCTTTGATATAATCGTCCTCATCTAACTCTTCAAACGCAGTCCTATGTCAGCCAAGATTGCCTGACGAGAGAGGCTATGGTTCAGCACATATCACAATCTAGATAGATTCATAATTCTATCGACTGTTTTTTTCCTTCTTAATAACCGAAGCTTAACCACAACATTACTCATTATACTATACCAATTAACACTGGATATTGAATATAGACAACTATAATTTAAGGCAGCTAGCTCATTCAAGTCTTTCACTTTCAACTGGTTTCGCAGCCAAAGAGGAGGACAAAGGGAACAGCCGCTCCGCAGTACACAGATACCAGTTATTTCATATGAGTGGTAAATTATCAAACATACTGTCAATCACATTAGTTGTAAGGTGGTTGTAGTAGGGAGCTACGAGATGACATCCCGCAATAACAGTTGTTTAACGAATGTTTTAAGTTACGGCAACAGTAAAGAATAGACAACAAAGTTAAGTGGCCTTTAATGTACTAAATGTATTTTTATAGGAGGAAAGTGCCATTGATTTAAAAAGTTTATAATTTAATTTATAATTTATTTATGAGATGTACATCTAATAGAACTGATTTACACAGGCTATAAATCGTTCATATTCCGTAGAAACTGATCCCAGTTTCGCAGAGGAGTATCTGCAGACCAATGTTGATGCAAAAAACCTCGGTGGCTGTATACATCAAATCATATACGGAGCCATTTACTTCTGTACGTGTTAAGGAAGAGCCCCTCCCCACTTGGATAAACCGAGTGATTCGTAAGTTACTCAAGCATAAACACAAATGTTGGAACCTGTTTGCTACACCTGAGACTTCTGAGACCAGGAAATTATATAACACTGCTAGGAATAAAGCTATTGCACAATCCGCCAATCAGGGATGTAGTTCGAAGCACATCTGGCTCAAAATGCAAAGGTACAACCTAAGAATATTTTCCCGTATTTGAACTTCACAAATAAAACATCCAATGGTGTCCCAAACCTGACTGTTGACAATGACACAATCGAAAAAGATCAAGAAAAAGCAGAAGCGATGGCAAACTACTTCTCCCAAGTCTTCACTTAGGAGTCATCACTGCCTATAGGATCAGCTCTGGCTACATCAGGAGAACATGGGATAGATTCCGTTGACATCGACCGAGGCATCGTACTCAACTGCTTAATGAAACTAGATGTAGAGAAAGCAATGGGTCCTGATAATCTTCATCCAAGGCTTCTCAAGGAGCTATCAGCTCACATAGCCGACCCTTTGACCACGATCTTCAAGCTATCTCTCCTAAATGGAGTGTTACCGCGTGACTGGAAAGATGCCATAGTAACTCCCATCCACAAAGGAGGATCAAGACAAAGCCCTTCAAATTACAGGCATATTAGTCTCACCAGCACTTTAATCAAGGCACTGGAAAGAATCATCAAGAAAAGCATCATGGCTTATCTGGAAAATAGCAGCTTGTTATCTGGAGCACAGCATGGCTTCCGAAGTAACCTCTCATGCCTGTCAAATCTCACTGCAAGAGAAAGCTGGGCCAATTCAAGGGACAACAGAAGACCCGTTGACGTCGTCTTCATAGACTTCAGTAAAGCCTTTGATAAAGTACCTCACAAAAAACTACTCATGAAGCTGGAATGTCTTGGTATCAAAGGCAGATTACTACGCTGGCTCAGGGAATTCCTCATAGATAGGAGGCAGAGGGTTAGGATCAACTCGAAACTCTCCTCCTGGACAGCAGTAAGTAGCGGAGTGCCACAGGGCACGGTTCTCTGTCCTCTCCTATTTATTCTGTATATCAACGAGTTACCTCTGCTCACCGACTCCCCTATGGTCTTATACGCAGATGACTTAAAAATTTGGAGAGAGATGAAGGGTAACAGTAATACGCTCACGTTGCAAAAGAACCTCAAAAAATTGTCAGAGTGGTCCGGAGAATAGATGCTCCCGATCAATGTAGCCAAATGTGCAGCCATGCGCATCGGACAAGCAAGCATTAACGCCTACGAACTAGGAGGAATAACACTTCCATCAGTTCAGAATCATTTGCATTTAGGTGTCACAGTTAGTCACGATCTACAAACTGCAGCACACTGTCGAGTGGTGGCTGCACGTAGTTTCAGGTCCTTATGGGCGATTCGCAGAACCTTTACTAGAATCACCAGAGATATGTTCACCTCCTTATATGCATTTCTGATGAGGTCAAGACTGGAAAACTGCATCCAGGCCGCCAGTCCTTTTCTAAAAGGGGACTCATATTCTAGAAAGGGTTCAAAGGAAGGCAACATGAATGGTTTACGGCATGACTAACTTATCATACGAGGAAAGACTAGACAATTTAAATCTTCTCCCTGTCATACCGTAGGCAGAGAGGAGATTTAATCACAATGTTTAAAATTCTAAATGATGACTACGGGCCTGACCTGTTCTCTCTTTTCTTCCCACCAGGTCGGAACACCTAACAGGACATAGCAGGAGAGTTCAAAAGCCAAGGAGAAATCATATTGCTGTTGAGTACTGGTTCTCACATCGAGTCATAAACTCTTGGAACCGACTCCCAGAAGAAGTGGTGTCTGCAACCTCAAATGATTCGTTCAAGAAGGGTTTGGACAACCACAGAAATCTACCAGAAAGGGATTGACATAGGCTTCAAGCCTTCCATCCTCAGCCAATAAATCTGAAAAGCTGTCATTTTAGATGAACCCAGAATCCTTCAATGGAATTCGTTCCCCTCATAGACACTACTAATTCAGAAATATGATTAACTTTGTGATGTTTATAGTTTAGTGATGATATTTGAGAATCACCTTTCCATTTGCGTGTATGAATGGTAGTTCCTAGGAGGACTAATCGTTGTATCATAGGAATTAAATTATCTGGGTGAGACTTCCAGCGAAGATTATGAACAACATCCAGATTTAGATTATAAGGATAGAACGTTTCTGTTGCCTGTGTTAATCCTTGCGGTGTATCTCTGCAGAGACCTAGTTTCTCCTTAAAAGCGTTCACCGGTGGAGCTGTTACTATTGAATCAGGTTTAAAGTTCCAGAAGTTGACCACTCTGTGAGAGAATCTAAATTCCACACGCATGTTATAAGACCTCCGTTTAAGCACCCTTTTTGTGGTGACCTTGTAAATGTATCTTAGAGGGAGAGAAAAGGTTTGAGAAGTCATTCCCTAAATACCAAGCCATCTTACTGATTGACTCAAGGCCATTTGACTTCGGTGTCTATTCTTTACTGTTTCCTACGTTAGTATTGATAAAAAGACAAGTAGTGATCCACATGAATGTATGGGCGTGCGGGCCAATCATTATACACAACACACATACAGTGCGTTCAGTAGACTACTTAAAATAAATCTCTATATAATAAATTAGTTTATTATGCATAAGAAGTCAATATAACTTCAGAAGTTACATGACTTCCGTATCTCAACTAAGTTTACGTCCACATAACCCACTTACCGTGGTAGCCGTGGGGCAATGGATAAAGGCACACACGACCTTTTATGGAGAGGCTGAGCACTTCAAGGTCATGCATGCATATTGCGATTGGTAGATTTTACTTTGCATAAACGCTGCGGCCAATACGTAGCACACGTTACTGAGGCGGGCTTTGAAATGACAGAAATAAAAGTCGCATAAACATTACATTTTTTCAGCTTAAGGAGACAATTTAACACATGTATAGATTTTACAAATGTGATATGCATGTGGACCCATTAAAAAGGGAATATTATTGGGTAACTTAATCAAAGTATAAAGTTTGAATATTTAGCCTTTTTCAGTTTATTGTAATGGACAGAGAGAAGAGGCATTTGTGTAATATTTGCATTTTGCAGAAGACAAACTTTGAAAGATAAATCGGAAGTTCTAGGATTCTTCAAGTTTATTATGGGATATATGGACTATTCTTACCGATTCTACTGTTGTTCCCTCCCTTGTTCACATATTCATTGTTGCTAAGATTAGGAATCGTTCACCTGAGGTACGATTAATTCACGTGATATGTATATATCCTTAGGTATTTCTCAGTGTGGCCGCAGATGGTAAAAGGAATACAATCTCAATTTTTGAATGGAAAGATCATAACAGATTCAGATATATTGGCTGAGGATGGAAGGCTTGAAGCCTATGTCAATCCCTTTCTGGTAGATTTCTGTGGTTGTCCAAACCCTTCTTGAACGAATCATTTGAGGTTGCAGACACCACTTCTTCTGGGAGTCGGTTCCAAGAGTTTATGACTCGATGTGAGAACCAGTACTCAACAGCAATATGATTTCTCCTTGGCTTTTGAACTCTCCTGCTATGTCCTGTTAGGTGTTCCGACCTGGTGGGAAGAAAAGAGAGAACAGGTCAGGCCCGTAGTCATCATTTAGAATTTTAAACATTGTGATTAAATCTCCTCTCTGCCTACGGTATGACAGGGAGAAGATTTAAATTGTCTAGTCTTTCCTCGTATGATAAGTTAGTCATGCCGTAAACCATTCATGTTGCCTTCCTTTGAACCCTTTCTAGAATATGAGTCCCCTTTTAGAAAAGGACTGGCGGCCTGGATGCAGTTTTCCAGTCTTGACCTCATCAGAAATGCATATAAGGAGGTGAACATATCTCTGGTGATTCTAGTAAAGGTTCTGCGAATCGCCCATAAGGACCTGAAACTACGTGCAGCCACCACTCGACAGTGTGCTGCAGTTTGTAGATCGTGACTAACTGTGACACCTAAATGCAAATGATTCTGAACTGATGGAAGTGTTATTCCTCCTAGTTCGTAGGCGTTAATGCTTGCTTGTCCGATGCGCATGGCTGCACATTTGGCTACATTGATCGGGAGCATCTATTCTCCGGACCACTCTGACAATTTTTTGAGGTTCTTTTGCAACGTGAGCGTATTACTGTTACCCTTCATCTCTCTCCAAATTTTTAAGTCATCTGCGTATAAGACCATAGGGGAGTCGGTGAGCAGAGGTAACTCGTTGATATACAGAATAAATAGGAGAGGACAGAGAACCGTGCCCTGTGGCACTCCGCTACTTACTGCTGTCCAGGAGGAGAGTTTCGAGTTGATCCTAACCCTCTGCCTCCTATCTATGAGGAATTCCCTGAGCCAGCGTAGTAATCTGCCTTTGATACCAAGACATTCCAGCTTCATGAGTAGTTTTTTGTGAGGTACTTTATCAAAGGCTTTACTGAAGTCTATGAAGACGACGTCAACGGGTCTTCTGTTGTCCCTTGAATTGGCCCAGCTTTCTCTTGCAGTGAGATTTGACAGGCATGAGAGGTTACTTCGGAAGCCATGCTGTGCTCCAGATAACAAGCTGCTATTTTCCAGATAAGCCATGATGCTTTTCTTGATGATTCTTTCCAGTGCCTTGATTAAAGTGCTGGTGAGACTAATATGCCTGTAATTTGAAGGGCTTTGTCTTGATCCTCCTTTGTGGATGGGAGTTACTATGGCATCTTTCCAGTCACGCGGTAACACTCCATTTAGGAGAGATAGCTTGAAGATCGTGGTCAAAGGGTCGGCTATGTGAGCTGATAGCTCCTTGAGAAGCCTTGGATGAAGATTATCAGGACCCATTGCTTTCTCTACATCTAGTTTCATTAAGCAGTTGAGTACGATGCCTCGGTCGATGTCAACGGAATCTATCCCATGTTCTCCTGATGTAGCCAGAGCTGATCCTATAGGCAGTGATGACTCCTAAGTGAAGACTTGGGAGAAGTAGTTTGCCATCGCTTCTGCTTTTTCTTGATCTTTTTCGATTGTGTCATTGTCAACAGTCAGGTTTGGGACACCATTGGATGTTTTATTTGTGAAGTTCAAATACGGGAAAATATTCTTAGGTTGTACCTTTGCATTTTGAGCCAGATGTGCTTCGAACTACATCCCTGATTGGCGGATTGTGCAATAGCTTTATTCCTAGCAGTGTTATATAATTTCCTGGTCTCAGAAGTCTCAGGTGTAGCAAACAGGTTCCAACATTTGTGTTTATGCTTGAGTAACTTATGAGTCACTCTGTATATTGGTGTGGGGTAATGTTTCCGACCGTTTTGAACACACCTTGGAATGAAATTTACAGTTACTTTTGCGTGAATTTTCCTAAATTTTTTTCTATGCGGCTCTTCTTTTGGACTCTTGTTTGATGTACCAGTTTACTGATTTGGCTGCTGAGACGATCGGATTTATATCAGCTTTCCAAACGTTTGGATGAGTTGATGTATTGCCCTTGCTGCCGTTTCTGTGTACTTTCAAGTGAGCACAGCATATTCACTTCTTCCTAACGAAGGAAGATTTTGCATGAGATCTACATCCTCACCGTGGGAGAACACTATATATAGAGTTGACGAGGAGTTCTTTGAGTAATAGCACGTGGGCTTAATGATATGTTTGACGAGGGCTAGCAGAATACTAGATTCTAGCATTTTATGATCAAAGGAGTTGACTGAAAATGGAGTTTTTACGCTCGACGAGTTAACTGTTGGGGCGTTGAAATCGCCGACTGCGAGACTTCGACATTTCGAAGTCCAGAAGCCTAGTTTCTCTATCAGGATGTCATCTGCACCGCAGTCAGGACTGTGGTACACAGCAATGAGGTCAATGTCTTGGCCTATGCATTTAAGTCTGCAGCGTAGAAGTTCGCACGACTCACTTTCGTGGGCGAGTGCTTCGATACTACGCACGGTTAAGCCTTTCTTGAGGTAGATGACTACGCCCCTCCTTTGCGGTTTAGTCGGTCTACCCTGTGCACTTCGAAGTTTGGCAGGTTAACTTCGTTGTCAGTGACATCGGGTGTGAGCCATGTCTCTGTGATAATAATTACATCCGGGTTTCCGGTTTCTATCATGTTTGCCAGCTCAGTCCTTTTATTTAACAGGCTGCGGGCGTTTGTGTAGCAGACTGTTAATTCAGATTGGTGCTTCCCCGGCCCACCCACAGAGGTTTCGGGATCATTAAACTGCGAACTCGGACAACCCGAAAACCCTTAATCTTAAGGTTCTTCTCACCGTTCCGGCGTCGCTCACTTAATTCTAGTGCCGCAGCCTGTCTTTTGACACGGTCTGCTAGGCTTAAGTCAGCGCGGACATATATCCCTGATCCTTTGAGAATATGAGAGTTGCTTAGAATAGCATCCCTCTCTGCTTTAGAGTTTAGTACGACTTTGAGGAGACGTACAGGTTCACTTACTGTAGGGTCAGGCTTTTGACCTATTCTGTATACGCTGTGTATAGTAATGCCTGATACTGTTTGTGGCAGTAGCTTGTCTAAAAGGGGCTTGACCAAGTTAAGGTCATGCTCGAATCTGGTCTTAGGATCGAGGGCCAGTGACTCCTCCACTTTGTGGAGAATGAGAGACCTGTCAGAGAGATCGGGTTTGCTTTCCGTGACTTTCTTGCTCTGAGGCGTAAGTGTGTTTCTATCCTTCTTGGGCGGTGTAGCCAAAGTGTTATCCTTATCTCGCTTTTTGCGAGAGACTACACTGCGCCATTCATTGGCGTCCTACTCGCTAATCGTAATGGGGTTTATCTGTCTGCTGCTCACCGGTGTGGATGAGGCTTGTTCCGCCAGTTCCTGGCCGACTGGAGCTGCAGGTTTTCGACCCCTGGTACGCCTGTTTCTCGTGGCAGTCTTTCCATTACTGTCACTGGAGGGCTTGTCCAGTATCGTGGGGCAGCCTGGGTGTCTGGAACGTGGTGGGTGTTCTTCTGTGCTGTAGGACACTCACTTATTGGCAAGGTCGCATCGGAGACATGTGCTGTTTAGTCAATGACGCTAGTCACATCATCGTTATCTGAGCAATAGTCGGTATTCTTCTGTGGTGGAGGACGCTTGAAGTCCATGAGCTTTAAAGCCACACTGAGATTAGCAATGGCTTCTGTAATACGGAGTTTAGTTGTACTACAGCATTCGTTGCACAATCAGTTTGCTAGAGGTTTGCAGCAGCGTTTGTATGCTGCTGGAGTAAGTTTCGTGCATATGCTGTGAAACCATCTCTTGCAGTTATCACACTGCATTCCCTCGTCCACTGGAAACTGGCACATAGCCCTTCCGCAGCGGTTTCTTTTGACAGGCATTTTATTTAAAACGAACCAGGAAAAATTAAATACAACTTCAAATATATATAACCTTTATAAATCAGTGATAAAAGCTAATGGGTGCACAAAGATAGATATATGTAGCTATTTAGTTATAAGGACACAACTTCCTATAATTTAATAGACTGAAATCTGAAACGTAAACTAATTTCGATCAGAATAAACTGATTTAAAGTTAAATCTGTGGACTTTTGGAGCGTATAACACAACAAAAGCCAATAATAAACAAGAGCGTGAAAATTAACTCCCTTTTCAAAGTTCGCGCGGTAGCCAGTTTCTTCTGAAGGATCAGGTGGTGCTGAAAGCTGTAAAGACGGGTCCAGTGTCACAATCACTGAGGGAAACTGATCCACATATTGTGGATAAAACGATTAGTGGACTTTAATTTGACTATGATGTAGCCATAGAGAACTACAAATGCGATTTTTTCCACTGAATTGTT